ATTTAAAAATAAAAAATTTGGTTTGAAAAATGTGATGTTATAGTTTATCTCCAAACCAAGTTTCTTCCTCGTTGTCTCTCTCTTTTCCTTATTGGCCAAGAGACAAATTTGCTATTCTTTTTGAACTCCAACTGTAATAAAAAGATTTAATTTTCAAAAAGAACGGTCAAAATATGAATTTATATGTATTATTTTTATTTTTACTTTTTTTTTTATTTATCAATTTACAACCTTATAAATACTCGTCACATATTAATATCAAACTCACATCATCTTCTTTCATTTACTCTCTATTCCATTCACTTTGACAACAAAAATGAATCTGGAAAATCTAACCCTAAAATCTCGTCAAAGAAAGTTACATGTTTCTAGTACAATGACACTGATAATCTTTTAAGACATGCCCTCTGGCTTGCTTTGATAATGAGGGAGGAGATCACGAAAAAATTTCCCTACATTGTTTTATGTTTGTTTTTTACAATCTTTGTTTTTTTTTCAATTATGTAATTTTTATTTTGATGTACAGAAATATTAGATTTCTTTTGCGTAAGTAACTATTTTTTATTTAATTAAAATTATTTATTAACCCTTAATTTCTAAAATTAAAATTATTATATTAAAAAATGGGAAAGAAAATAAAATGTGACCATCTTCTAGGTTTTTAAGAGTAAGGGGATATTGCAAGAAAATTAGATGGCGCTGGGTGGCATAAGAAAATTGCAAGATGAAAGTTTTGTACACGAGCCTAATTAAGGTACCAATGGTTCTATATATTTTATAAGTTATAACCTCATTTGAAGAAAAAACATTTGTTTACCAACCGGTTAAGGAGAACCAAATATTCTCAAATTGTTCACGGAAAATGATTTTGTAGGATAATATATATATATATATATATATATATATATATATATATATATATATATATATATATATATATATATATATATATATATACTAGGTTTAAACCCATGGAAATCCACGGGTGATAAATTGAAATATAATTATAGTTTTTAATTTGTAACAAAAAAAAGATATGAAAGTTTAGAAAAAATGAAGAATAGTGATATTAGCATTAATATGAATAAGTCAAATACAATAAAGTTGTAAAAATTAATTAATTAATATGATAGATGAAGTACTTCCCCAATTTCAACCAATCGTGGGTTCGGATGATATCAGGGGTTAAAACAATAAAGTTGTAAAAATTAAATCTACTGTTTCCCCAATTTCAACCAATCGTGGGTTCGGATGATATCAGGGGTTAAAACCCTAGATCTCCATGGAATCAATGAAGGTAAAATTGTGTGATACACAATAATCGTGATGATTATAAATTGCTTATTGATCTTATGTATCTATTCAAGATTATATTTTTACAATTAGAAAAACATCTATTCCAGCATATTGATTATTGTTGTAAATTTCAACCATAAATTCATAGAGAAAACAAAGTGATCTAAACTGATAATACTAACCTGACATATGGATATGGAAATCTTGCAGGTAGAACTGGAATGAGGATTACAACTTTAACGAAGCAGTTTGATGTAAGCTTAATGAAAAAAAATCGCAGAAACAATTGAACATTAAGAAGACGAATGAGGTGTTTCAAAATTTTGGATTTCACGTTTTGAGTTAAAGTTATATGCTTGAATATTGGAAAAAGATTACGATTATATGATTTTATTGTTGTTGGATCTTTATTAGATATAATTTTCTTCCTGATTTTTTGGAATTTAAAAGATTACAACTAAAAATTAGTTTAATATTCAAATTTCATCTAAAAAAGGAGTATAGAATATTAGGAAATAGTTGGTTGAATATAAGTTATTTACAGAAGATAAGTAAATATGCTGCAACCATTACAAAAATGTATGAATTAATTTTAGAGAATCAAAGATATAAATTTTGTTTACAATTGGTTATTGATTATTTATTAAAAATAACATATTTATCGTGACAAAAATAATAGTTATTATAAATAATAGACATAAATGTTCCATGTTTAAAATAATCAACATAAAGATGCGAAGGTGATTATGGTTAATATTCATTATTGGAGTCAAATGCAGTTCACGTGTAAAAGCAAAAATGTTCGCATTTGGTAATACAAGTCAAAATTGGGTTTCGCATATGAGGTTGTATGGATTGGGGTTAAAGATGCGAAGGTGATTATGGTTAATATTCATTTCGTATTTGGTGAGACAAACAACTCAAATGCGAATGAACTAAAAAAAATGACTGGAACATGCGAAGAAAGAGGGTGAATGAAGAATGTGAATTTTACAGTAGAATACGAATTGGGGAAGAAAGCTAAGAATTTCGCATTTTTATTATACAAATTGATTGATTGATTGATTTGTCTTAATTGTTAATTGCGATATATGAAATACTTATCAATTTAGGGGCAATATCGTCATTTTGAAGTAAAATAAGCCTTGGTTATTAAATGAATCATACGAAGGATCTGTTATTTGATTTTGGAATTGGGGCGAATAATCGAACCATCTGGAGTTGCGAATTTGATTTTGAAAAGTCAATCAGTTGGGTTCGCATATAAAACAGAAGTTTTGATTTTGGATTAGCAATTGGGTTAATTGGTTTATTGATTGAGGGACGATTCGTGAAGAAAAATGCGAAGTCAAGAAGGACTGTGAAATGTGATTTGTTCAATATTGGAGTCAAATGCAGTTCACGTGTAAAAGCAAAAATGTTTGCATTTGGTAATACAAATCAAAATTGGGTTTCGCATATGAGGTTGTATGGATTGGGGTTAAAGATACGAAGGTGATTATGGTTAATATTCATTTCGTATTTGGTGAGACAAACAACTCAAATGCGAATGAACTAAAAAAAAATGACTGGAACATGCGAAGAAAGAGGGTGAATGAAGAATGTGAATTTTACAGTAGAATGCGAATTGGGGAAGAAAGCTAAGAATTTCGCATTTTTCTTATACAAATTGATTGATTGATTGATTTGTCTTAATTGTTAATTGCGATATATGAAATACTTATCAAGTTAGGGGCAATATGGTCATTTTGAAGTAAAAGAAGCCTTGGTTATTAAATGAATCATACGAAGGATCTGTTATTTGATTTTGGAATTGGGGCGAATAATCGAACCATTTGGAGTTGCGAATTTGATTTTGAAAAGCCAATCAGTTGGGTTCGCATATAAAACAGATAAGTTTTGATTTTGGATTAGCAATTGGGTTAATTGGTTGGTTTATTGATTGAGGGACGATTCGTGAAGAAAAATGCGAAGTCAAGAAGGACTGTGAAATGTGATTTGTTCAATATTGTAGTCAAATGCAGTTCACGTGTAAAAGCAAAAATGTTCGCATTTGGTAATACAAATCAAAATTGGGTTTCGCATATGAGGTTGTATGGATTGGGGTTAAAGATACGAAGGTGATTATGGTTAATATTCATTTCGTATTTGGTGAGACAAACAACTCAAATGTGAATGAACTAAAAAAAAATGACTGGAACATGCGAAGAAAGAGGGTGAATGAAGAATGTGAATTTTACAGTAGAATGCGAATTGGGGAAGAAAGCTAAGAATTTCGCATTTTTCTTATACAAATTGATTGATTGATTGATTTGTCTTAATTGTTAATTGCGATATATGAAATACTTATCAAGTTAGGGGCAATATGGTCATTTTGAAGTAAAAGAAGCCTTGGTTATTAAATGAATCATACGAAGGATCTGTTATTTGATTTTGGAATTGGGGCGAATAATCGAACCATTTGGAGTTGCGAATTTGATTTTGAAAAGTCAATCAGTTGGGTTCGCATATAAAACAGATAAGTTTTGATTTTGGATTAGCAATTGGGTTAATTGGTTAGTTTATTGATTGAGGGACGATTCGTGAAGAAAAATGCGAAGTCAAGAAGGACTGTGAAATGTGATTTGTTCAATATTGTAGTCAAATGCAGTTCACGTGTAAAAGCAAAAATGTTCGCATTTGGTAATACAAATCAAAATTGGGTTTCGCATATGAGGTTGTATGGATTGGGGTTAAAGATACGAAGGTGATTATGGTTAATATTCATTTCGTATTTGGTGAGACAAACAACTCAAATGCGAATGAACTAAAAAAAAATGACTGGAACATGCGAAGAAAGAGGGTGAATGAAGAATGTGAATTTTACAGTAGAATGCGAATTGGGGAAGAAAGCTAAGAATTTCGCATTTTTCTTATACAAATTGATTGATTGATTGATTTGTCTTAATTGTTAATTGCGATATATGAAATACTTATCAAGTTAGGGGCAATATGGTCATTTTGAAGTAAAAGAAGCCTTGGTTATTAAATGAATCATACGAAGGATCTGTTATTTGATTTTGGAATTGGAGCGAATAATCGAACGATTTGGAGTTGCGAATTTGATTTTGAAAAGCCAATCAGTTGGGTTCGCATATGAAAACAGATAAGTTTTGATTTTCGATTAGCAATTGGGTTAATTGGGTTATTGATTGAGGGACGATTCGTGAAGAAAAATGCGAAGTCAAGAAGGACTGTGAAATGTGATTTGTTCAATATTGGAGTCAAATGCAGTTCACGTGTTATTATGTGTTTAAGTTGATTAGGGGTAAATAAGTTAGTTAATTACAGAGATAGTGTAAATACAGAAGTACATTTAGGTAAAATAAAGTGGTATGTCAAATAAATTGATATGTAAAATGAAACATATAAGTAACTGCATAATTACACATATGAATGTAATTCTTCAAGATTTTGTGGGAATAAAGCAATGTAGTTTAAAATAAGTTGTAGGAAAAACAAAATAACATGGCAAACCAAATTATAGGACTACAAAAAAACCCAATGGTCCGAATGTACTTTCAAGAAACAAAAATGACAACCATGAAATCCCAAAAAAAAAACATTCAAAACCAAGAAAGATAAAAACGTAAACGGCTTAGGAGTCTATGATGCGAAATCAAAATTAAACACGAAGTAAGATTGTTTGTCGAAGTAAAATGCATTTACTTTTCTTTCTTGGGTACCAAAAGAGGAGTTGGTTGTTCATCTGGTGGTGACAGTCTAGGATTTTTAGAATTAGACAAATTCTCCATTTCATCAATATCTATGCATGTAGCAAGGTTTCTTTTCAACTCAATTGGTGTAGAAATGAATTTTATAGGACTTGTTGCAGTTGACTTGTCCCTAGCACATGGAGTTAAATTTTCACCGGTCTGTGAAAAAGAATCCTAAAAAAATATTTAGTTAGTTGTTATAAATTAAAACAAAATATTTGAGAAATATATTTTAAAAACTAAAACCTTGAGAACTTTGGTGTCATGAGAACCAACATCTGAATAACCAATCAAGAATGAATCAGAATTAGCAGGCTGCATCACAAGATGAAAACAAAAGTAAAAATACATACATCAACCAAAAAGGTAGTAGATTGCCATTTTATTTGATTTTGATGGATACAAAAATCCATTGTTATCATGTGTTTAACTTAATTAGGGGTAAGTAAGGGGAAACAGTTAATTGAACTTTAAAATTTATTGTTTAGATTAAAAAAAATTCAAATAGCCAAAAAGAAAGTACATTGCCATTTAACTGAGTGGGAGGGACATTTTAGGCATTTCTAGCATATAAAAAGAAAACATATACTATGGACGTTTTAAATTTATTGTTTACATTGAATTTGAAATTTATAATCATCAACCAATAAAAAATTAAAAAAAAATAAAAAAAAAAATCAAACAGCCAAAAAGAAAGCACATTGCTATTTAACTGATATCCCAAAAATAAAACATATATTTGTTCTAATTAATGTTTTTTTTACTTGTTAACATATGTGTCAAAAACTTTTCTCTTATACATAACAGGGAAAAAACAATCAAACAGTCAAGAAGAAAGTATGTGTTTAAGTTAATTAGGGTAAGTAAGGGGAAACAGTTATTTGAACTCTAAAATTTATTGTTTAGATTATAAAAAAATTCGCCAAAAAGAAAGTAAATTGCCATTTTACTAATAATGTATAAAGAAAACATATATTTGTTCTAATTACCTACCTGTCTGTATTCTTAAAGTATTTGTGAGAAAACTGATTTTGATTATTATTAAAGTATTTGTGAGAAAACTGATGATTTTAAAACTTGAATAGAAAACTACTGACATCTACTTTTCACATGATGTTAACATAACATTAAGATCATTTTTTTTATAAAATATAACACGTGTTTCCCTTTTTTTACACTAAAGAATCAATGTTTTTTGTACTTGTGAACATGATTATGCGATTTTTATCTTTTACAATAAAGAATCGATGTTTTTTTACTTGTAAACATATGTATCAAAAACTTTTCTCTTATACATAACAGGGAAAAAAACAAAATATAAAACTGATGAAACAGAAAAGGTAAAGAACAGTGTAGTTTTGCTGACCTGATGATGAATATGTCACCTCTGAAATGTAACCTAACGATGAATATGTGATCTCTGAAATCGTATTGAATAAATCACGTTAACAGGAATCGTATTGACTTCTCAAGTTGTATTGAAATATATCATCTATGCGTAAACTGATTGCCTGATTTTTAGGGATTGACACTATATGGAATTTAAATTGATTAGCTGATAATGGAATTTAAATTGATTAGCTGATTTTTTGGGATGGATATTGCATATTCGACAGAAATCAATTTTAAATTTCCTGATTTACTTCCTGATTTACATATTTACTTATTTACTTATTCATAATTCATGTTTGCTGATGTAGAAAATGTTTTCGAACAGAAGGGCAAAGTGGGAACTTCACTTATAATATATGAGCGGGAAAACGTAAGGTGGAGAGGCTAAGGGACTGCCAAGTGGCGTTTTCAGTACTGTTTTATTAGTAGAGAAGATATATATATATATATATATATATATATATATATATATATATATATATATATATATATATATATATATATCATGTTGTTCAAAAATTATTATAATCATAATCCTAAAAATTACCTAAGTCTATATTATTATTTTAAGACCCAAAATCTAACACCCCACCTTCATGTTATATGGAAATATGTTGAGGGATCAACGTAGCTCAACCTATGAAGACTTCATCCGATCAACTTTCATATTTTTTTAGTTTTTTTCTTTGAAGTATGGTATTGCTGTTTGAATCATACTTCCTAATATATATGAAATATGAAATGATAGTTAATCATATGATTTGACAAATAAAACAATACAAAACATATAATCATTATCCATCAACCTTAATGAATTATGAAACGATAAACTCAAGAGTATATAAGGCTAATGAGTGTGTAGTGCGATTTCAAACCACGGGTGTGCCACGTCAACTGCAAACACCGCCACCAGGGTGCGGTCTTGGCCGTACTACGGCTAGAAATGGCCGCATTCTCTTTCTTCTCTCTTTATTTATGTGTTTTTCTCTCTCTTCTCATTTCTCTCAACTCTCTCTTTCTCTACCATGGTTTCCATGGTTTTCACTCCCTGGGTGTGGTAAAGAACCAAACAAACGTGACTCCTATGTGTCAAAGGAGGAAGTGCGATTCTTGTGGCACCATTCCCTCCCGTCCAACATCCCGCCTTCATGTTATATTGAGAGATGTTTAGGGCTAGAATGGTTCAATGTGGGAAGAAAGACTTCATCCAATCAAATTTCATATTTTTAAATCTGTTATTGTTTTTTATTTTTTAAATATGGTGTGGTTGTATTTCATATTGATATGAAATATGATGTAACAAATAAAATAACGTGAAAAGTGTAACCATTACTAACCGTTCGTAATGAATTTTGAAACGATAGAATCATAGAGTATATAACAATATGTCGTTTAAAACGTTTAGTTTGATTATTATTTTTTTTTAATTAAAAATATTTATATCTTCTTTGATTTGTCTGAAAACGTTTAGCTTGTTTCGTAGTGGCCATTGGATGATGACATTTCTTTGTCTCTTTTTGGTTTGTATATTCCGACTAATCAAAGCGAGTAAACACGAATACTATTATTTTTTGAATTATATAAACATATGTCTTTACAGATTTAAATCAAAGTATGTCGGTGTTTATAAACTACCAACTTTTTGTAACACGCAATTCACAGCTTTTACAAATATCGAGTATCTGGGTACTTAGAAATATTGATTTGGGATCACTACAAAAATTGACAATTAGTTAACATATTTTTTTTATAAATTATCATATTATTTAGGTCCCGTTTGATAGTTTCTGTCTGGAAAAGTGTTGTCTGGGAAAGTTTTCTGATTGGAAAAGAAATCATACTGTTTGATTGTACATCTGATTGACTGTGCTGAATGATGAAAAAAAGTAATAAGTCTATAAAAAAAATAAATTTTAAAAAAAGTTATTTAAAAAAATTAATAATCCAATAAAGAAAAAAAGAGGCGATGTTTGGTGTATAATTATCTTTCCAGCCCATTCAGCCAGAAATATATGATTTTGGGGATTTTTGGGAAAGACATATCTTACCGGGAAAGATCCATTCTTTTGTGCAAATCAAATAGTCTTTCCGATCCATTCAGCCGGAAAGATCTGTTTGGACCTGGAAAGATGCGTATCAAACGGGATCTTAATATTTTTTGATAGTGCAAAAAAAAAAAAGTTGTGTTATTGTCGTTGAATGCATTGCATATTCAATAAAATAAAATTAAATAAAATCAAATCATTCTATCTATCGGACTATTAGTCGTTATTCAATAAAATAAATAAAATAAAAGCATTTTATCTATCGGACTATTAGTCGTTAACTTTCCAACAATCAGATGATCCGGGAGGGGATAGTATTGAGGTGATTTAATTTTCTTGATTGATTTCGTAGGTGATCTCTATTAGTTTTCTCAATTTTTGGTGTCCTTGATTAACTCATGGATTGGTAGTGATTATATAATTACGTAAGGTTTTTAAAATATAGTTTTTTTAGCTAACCCTAAAGTTTTTCATAGTAATCACATATATAATTTATTATGCAATTCTTTTGGTTTTTTCGTGACTTTTAGTCTTTGATTGAATAAAAAGTTGAGTAAATTACTGAAATGGTTCCTATGGTTTGATCAAAATTATATGTTTGGTCCTTACTTTTTTTTGCACTCGGATCGTCATTGTGGTTTGATTTTGTTATGTTTTTCGTCCCTTACATACATAAAATTAGGGACCAAATGTGCAATTTTGATCAAATCATAGGGACGAATAACGCAATAAAATCAAACCACAGGGACGATCCGAATGCAAAAAAAAAGTTAGCGACTAAACGTGCAATTCTGACCAAACCATAGGAACGATTTCAGTAATTTACTTTAAAAAGTTTTTACTAGTGCTCACATAAATAATTTATGTAATTTGTTCTTCTTTCTAAATTTAACTCTTGATTTGATAAAAGGTTTGTAGTGATCACATAAGTAATTTATGAAATTTGTTATTTTTAGATAAGGAGTGGGTGTGTTAAACCCATTCGTCAAACCATTAGCATCCACTGAACACGATCCCATAGCGCATGCTAAGGGATGACGCCAAGCTTTGCTCGCTAGCGACATGAGAGAAAAGAAAGAGTGAGGGAAAAGGTGGAGAGAGAATGTTTGTTTGAGTTTTGATTGGTTGGTTTTATTTTATTTTATTTATAATTTTTTATTCATTTTTTTCTTATAAAGATATATTTAGCATCTTATCACTCTTCCTAACACCATGTTGTGTTTATTTGGCATACATAAATTGATATTGCACTATAACATACATATTTCACCACTCCCTTTAGTCTTATTGACTTTTACTCTTAAATAAAAAGTTCTTCCTAGAGGTGCTCTCATTTGTTTTAAATGTAACTGATGCCGACATTTTTTAGGGAAGAACTTGTAACACATGTTTTGTAAACTCTATTATATATGTTATATGGGTATTTTGACCATAAACTTATTGTGGTCATTTTTTGGGTGTTATAGAATCTCAACATTTTATCATGTCAATTATATTGATAAAAGTTTTTATAATCTTTCATAGTTGAGTTAAACTGTTAAATGTGGTGGTTTTAGTGACCAGGGGTAATATTAGAAAATTGGTTAAGCGTTAGGACTTCAAAAATTTTGTAATGTATAAATTTGGTGTAGACAGCAATGTGCATTGCTATTACAAAATTCGGTAACCTACTATATTAGATTTGAATGAGAACACGACGTGTTTGTAAGTATGATGCTAGGCCTAGAATAGGGAGAACGCAACACACAAGAGTTACATTACACAATGCTAATAATGAGAACGTGATGCATCGAGATCGGTATTAAACAAAATATAAAGATAAGAGAGTCGGTTAAATGATATCACTTCACACATTCGTTCCAGAAGCAGGGGAGGACGACCCTGTTGATCTTGACCTAAAAAATTAGAGTAAACAAGGAGAAATCAAAAGGAGATACAAGGGTATACTAATTATACACTTGGATTAAGATCAAGCTTCTTTACTTTGAGTAATTTCATTCCTTATTTCTGAAAGAAGCTCATGAACTCTAATTCCTATATGATCTCATATGTTAGAAGTTATGATGAATAAGGAAGAATAAAGTATTATGTAATATGTTTCAATACTTGTTATGTTAAAATCCTTGCATAAACTCTTGAAATGGACAAGACAGGTAAAAACCGTAATTTGAGTAAATTATGATAAAGTGAAAGTGAAGGTATATATTAATGAATTAAGTCATATAAATGATTTATTCATGGGGTGTAATCGGTTTGATATAAAAATTAAGTCATGTATAAATGACTTTTATATTGAGCTATAATGTTTAATTTAGTGAAATGGAGAATAAGGTGACATTAAGCGCATGTGGTAATGAATTTAGACATGTAAAAAACTCATTTATGGAGTATAAAGAGTTGGTATATAATTTTAAGTTTTGACATAGATAAAAGTGTTGTATCAAGTAGTCTAAAAGTGAGTTATACCCTTGTACCACATGTTTCCCACATCGAATCAGTTAAATACTGAAAGTAGTCAAAGAAGTGGTTTTGGAGTAAAATCACATGTCACAAGATGGTGGGATAGTTACCACGACGTGGCATGATGTTTAAGTGATTGTGTGTCCGGATGGATGCCACGATGTGGCAAAATTGAGATGGCACGATGTGGCAATTGGTTTAGCCCAAACCCATAAATTTTAGGGTTTTCTTCGTATTTAATGACCTTAACTTTAGGGTTAGGCCATTCCTTCCAGGCTTCATCTCCCCATTTCCAAATACTTGCCTCCTTGAAACTTTGGAGGTCATTTTACAAGTTTTTATGATTTTGAGGGAAGGAGGAAGTATGGTGTATAGATCCAGCAAGCAATATATCCGCATCCTTATGTTCATCCTCTAGACTCTTTGTAAGTCCTTAAACTTTCATCGTGTTGGTTTCCTTCTCATAGTTCTAGGTCATTTTAGCTTATTTTTGTCCTTGGTTTAGGTTGGAATTTCTCAATGGAATATAGTTAGCAACTTTATGGTTCTCCAGATTCCTAAGAGCATTATACCTTATGGATCTAGAAGTTGAGTGAGACTGAAAGCCTTGTATGAGGTTTTGACCAAATTTCTACCATTTTTGACCAAGATAAGAGAAAGACATGCGTTAGCCATGAGTTTTCATAATGTTTGGATTTTATGGACCATTAGGGTCCCAAGAAGCCATCTAGAAAGTTGGAGTTGAGGGATTAATGGATTAAGGAGTGAATCCATTAAGTTGTCCCCCAGATAGTGGCTAGGACGTGGTGAGTTGGCTACCACGATATGGGGAAGGAAGGGGATCCACAATTGTTTTGTCTTGATACTGCCACGATGTAGCCATGAGTAGGTCACAATGTGGCCATGGGTAGGCCATGACGTGAACGTCAGCTAACATTGACTTTGATCATTGACTTTTTGACTTGGATGACTTTTGGTCAAATTGTTAGTCTTAGAGTGTGGAATAAGGTTTGACCTTGGGAACTATGATAGGTGGGTTGTAGCACTAGATTTTGTACTTTTCAAGCTGTGGTTTTTTTACTGTGAGTATGAGGTGAGTCTTCTCACTTTACTATGTATGATGCTAGATGTATTTGCGACTTTTGCATTATATGTTGGGTGGGGCTTGTTACATGGAATGGGCCTGGTATGTTGGGTGGGTCCCATTATGATTGGATGGGTTAAGCCCGATATATTATGGGCGAGGACCGTACGGTTATGTTGTTTTTTGGGGAACTCACTATGCTTTGTTTTTACAGTTTCGTGTTTAAATGTTTTTAGGTTTTCTTATATAAAAGGAAGGGCGCGGCTCGATTGCATCACATCCATTGGAGATTTCCACACTTAATAACTTCATGAAGATACTCTAATAAATGTTTTAAATCAAATGGTTTTATCTAGATTTTTGAAGTTGTAATTAGAACAAATACTTTTATTTTTTAATGAAAAATCTTCGATTGAAAATCAGAATGTTAAAATTTGGTATCAGGGCATTGGTTTGACGGATTTGGGCATACTCTCGGATGTGTTTGAACTCAAACTGAGGAATTGATAAAATCATAAAAAAGAAAACAATTTTCTAAACGGGTTTTAAAAGAATAAATGG